CCCGCAGACCCCGGCCCAGAGGCTCAGCCTCCCCCAGACCCCCCAGAGGTTTGCTTGTTCCGATGGTTACTCACTCTCGCTGTTACACACTGCAGGAGAGGCCGGTCGGGCTGGAAGGGAGGGGCTGTGAGTAACCGTGAGAGCCAATAGCCATGGGACCGGGGGGCTGGATTCGCTCCAGCAGGCGTGGAGGGTTTGCCGCTCAGAGGAGCGCCAGTCAGCCCCGGACTTCCCGCTGCGCGCCGGGCTCCGCGTGACCCTGGACACCCACCTTCATGTCCGCCGCCTGTAGCAGGCGCAGGCCGCACCCGCGGTTGCCGAGGATGTCGTTCTCCACCACGAGGCCGTCGCCCTTGGAGGCGATGCCGTGGCTGCGGTTGTCGTAGATGCCGTTGCCCCGCAGCTCCACCCGGGCCGCGCTCTCCACCAGCACCCCGCCCCGGCTGTTGCAGGAGATGCTGTTGTTGGCGATGCGCGTGAGCTGGCCGCTCTGCAGCACGGCCACCCCGGCCTCGCGGTTGGCGTGGATGGCGTTGCCGATGACGTTCAGGGCCTCGCTGCTCTTGACGTACAGGCCGGCGGCTGCGGACGAGGCTCCGTCAGGGAACTCGGGGCGGAGGAGACGAGGGGACCTGCCCGGTGGCCAGAGAAATCCACCTGCCGCCCGCCCGCGCTTGGCCACCCTGCCCTCCCAGCGCTGGATCTCAGTGCCCCCCAGAGGCCGACAGAACCTGGCCTGGAGCTGCAGCCCGAGTCTGCACCATCCAGCGGCGAGCCCCGGCTGGGAGTGACCGGGGGCTGGGAGTGACTCTGGGCCTGGCCGGGGGGTGACAACCCAAGGCCAGACTAATTCACAAGCTCTAGGCTCCGGTGAGACGCGCCCGGGTGTCGGCAGCGACACAGGGGGCTCGGCGGTGGGAGGGGCCGGGCGCTGCACCACACGGGCCACAGGACTGGTAGCGGGGAGGTGCCAAGTGCTCAGGGGAACACAGACGCTGCCCACGTGCTCGCTAAGCCAGCGGCGTCTCCGGCTTCCTGACTCAGGCGGGCCCTTTCATTCGGGCCCCCAGGGAGAGGGGTTTTGCATGCCCCTGCTGCGGCTTCCCTTCTCTTCCTGGTCTTCTGTTCTTCTCCCACCCCCTTCCCAGGGCGTCCCCCTTTGGAGCGCCGTAATGCTGCTCCCCAAGAGAAAGTTCTTCGTCTCCCTTCCAAAGGGATGAAATCCCCGAGCACCTGCTGCTGGTGGGCCGGGCCCAGAAAGTGGCTTTCCGTTCCCTTGCGGCGCCCTCTCTGGTGTCACACCCCAGAGCAACCCCAAGGCTGCTCCAAGCCGCCCCACCTTGTCCCTGGCCCTCTGGAGACTGCGGGGCTCCGACAGCCAGAGGACAATGCGCTCCAGCCATGCCCGCCCTGCCGTCCTCTGCTCCCAGGGCCTGGTGCCGCATGGTTCCCCGGGGTACGTCGGGATGGGATCCTGGAGTGGCTGTTTCCCCCCGTTCTGTAGCCACTAGCAGTTGGCTGCAGCTTTGGACAGAATCCAGTCCCTGGTCTAGAGCTGGAGTTTGTCCCTCTGCACGGCGCTGCCCCCACTAGGCACCACTCCCCTGCGGTCGGCCCCAGGGCCCTGGCCAGCGGGTGTGGGCAGGCCCTAGCCGCGGGGGGGCCGCACTTACCGCCATTGTGACTGATGCTGTTGGACTCCACCAGCGCCACGCTGAGGGGCCGCCGGGAGGCGAAGCGCTCGTCCTCGCTCTCCAAGTCGCTCTCCCAGGCGGCCGCCTCTCCCTCCTCGCCGAAGCTCTCGTGGCCGCCCTGGCCGGCGGGGTAGTCGTCGGCCTCGTCCTTGCGGCAGAACACCGCCACGCCGTAGATGCTGTTGTGGCCGATGCGGTTGTTGGTGACATGAGGGAGGCTGGAAGCCATTATCCACACGCCACAGCCTTTGTTCCCTGCAGCAGGCAGAGAGTGAGGCCTGCCGGCGTGGCCCTGCGCGCACGCTCTCCGTGCACAGCGCGGCTTTGACGCCACCGAGCGCGTCCCGACCTGGCGCCGGGTTCACCAAGCAGCTTCCACCAGAACACGGCCCCCGGCAAGACGCGAGGAGACACGTTCCTGCTTCTCGCAGGACGCGACTTGGCGCATCCCCCCTCCCCCTCCTGTCACTGGGACCGAGCGGTACAGCCCCGTTACAATGGTCCTGCCGGAAACGAGACCACGTCCGCGTGGCAGGAACAGAACGCGGCCTGCGCCCTGACAGGCTGTTCAGTCCCCCTTGCGACTCACGGGGCTGCGAGGCAGCGGTGACACGCCACCAGTGACAGCCACCCCTTCGGCCATCGCTAGGGTGCGGTTTCCAACTCAGCCCTTCGTGCGCTCCGGGAGCCTACGCCGACGCGTCACGTCCATAGCTACCACGAGTGCCTGTCCCTCACTCTCGCCTGCTTTGCCCCCACTCTGCTCTGCCCAGCCCCACAAGTCAGCGCACACCCAGCTGTCTCCCACGGCGCTTTGTTCCAGGGGCTGGTTGCCTTTGTTTCCGGCTGCAAAATAAATCCCCCTCCGGGTATGTAGGTGGCTTATGCCAGACCCCAGCTCCCCTGGCCAACGCTGAGGAGCCTCTCGAGCAGAGCTGCGGCAGCCGAGAGGCCCCCACTCTGCTCTGCCCAGCCCCACAAGTCAGCGCACACCCAGCTGTCTCCCACGGCGCTTTGTTCCAGGGGCTGGTTGCCTTTGTTTCCGGCTGCAAAATAAATCCCCCTCCGGGTATGTAGGTGGCTTATGCCAGACCCCAGCTCCCCTGGCCAACGCTGAGGAGCCTCTCGAGCAGAGCTGCGGCAGCCGAGAGACGCAGTTACACACACGGCCAAGGGAGCTGGGAGGAAAACGGCCGGCTGGGGCCGGCGCACCGCCGGTTGGCACAAGCCTGTGCTGGGGCAGAGGATCAGGGAGCCGCAAGGGCCTTCCTGCCCACCCTTGCTCAGCGTGGAATCTGACCTAGCGCAGAACAGGAGCCGCCCCTAAGCAAAGGGGGCACAGCACAGCAGCCGGGGGGGAGCCGAGGGCAGGCGCCCGGCGGAGAGCCGAGGGCAGGCGCCCACGGGATTGTCCGTATTTTGGGCTTCTTACCGTAAATGGTGTTTCCTTCGATCAGCCCCTTGCCTCGTTCTCCGACCACCACGCCGTCCGAGTAGCCGCAGCAGATGAGGTTGCTTCTGAGGACGGGGTCCCCCCCGCGCCGGATGTCCACCCCTCCCCACTGATTTTCACGAATGACGTTTTCTAGCACGGAGCAGAAGAGCAATGACCAGAGCGCCCCACTGCGGAAGAGAGGCTGTTCGGCCGAGAAGGTGAAAAGCAAAGTGCCGGTTTGTAACTGGGGCAGTGAATTCTAGCCCGGCCCCAGGACGTCCACAGCACAATGACTGTAACAGGGCCAGAATGCTTCGTTGTGTTGGCAAATGAACCCATCTAGCTAGAGTCCTGTGCGGATACGAAATTCAGTATCCGCAAAACCGAGCCGTGGGCGCGGGGCCCGTGGAGATGAGCGAGCGCCGCGGATCCGCAGGGCTCCACAGACACCTGCCTGAATCTGCTCTCGGATAAGGTATGGGGGGGTCACAGGACGGCGCTGGAGAAGCGCTACGCACACTCACGGGGGGCCCTGACCCCAGCTCAGTACAGCAGCCGCGCAGGGAAAGGAGCAGCAAGAACAATGGCTGGAAACAGGGCCAGGATGATTGCTCTTGAAAAAGACTTCTGCCTTTTGAAACAAACACCTTCACTTTGGCGTGGGCCGCGCTCCTGCCACCCTCTACGGTCTAACGAGCATTTCCCCTGCCCTGCCGGGGGCAAGCCAGCTCTTTCAGGGACATCCGGTCTTCGCGATCTCTGTTAGCGGCTCTGCATTTACTTTGTATGGTGGAAAACAGGGCACCCTGCCCCATGCAAGAGCGGACCAGATTCAATGACGTGTCATGAACTGCAGGTCCTGGCTACCGTCTGTTTCTGCCAACGGAGGGTGGCAGTGAATCAGCCATCTAGATCCACCTCTCCACATAATGAGCCCGCCTCCTTCACCCATCTACCTGCAGAACCACTGCTGAGAGCAGCCACTCCCAGATGCTGCTGCAGTAGAATAACGTTCATGACTCACGCCGATTCCCTCGCCCACCTCTACACACCAACAGTGCCAAGGGAAGAGCAAAGATTCCTGCGGGACAGTCCAGAAAAGCTTTGCCTGTCCCCTCGCTTATAGGGACATAGGGACCGACAATCTAACGAAGATGCGTCTAGGTCTGACTGCGAAGCCAGATGCCCACTAGAAAACACCGCCCGTCATATATACCAAAGCTGCTTGGAAATTATATACCTATTATCTGGCCTCTTCCATTCTCGTTCACTGCCACCCCGGCAGCTAGGCCCTGGAATATATGGTTCCCACTAGAGTAGAAAGAAAGGAAACAGTTAGTGACCTAAGTTGTTGCTCTTTGTATTATGTTAATCAGACATCAATTTGTCCTAATTTAGACTTTTTGAACAACAGGAAGTTCTGTGGCACCCTAGAGACTAACAAATAGAGAGAGATAAAAAGATATCTTTTAAAAGCGGAAGTCAAATCCTAGTGAGGAAAATAGAAAGGAGCATAAACTCTGTCAAATTAAGTGTAAAAATAGAAGAAGAAAAACCAAAAAGGAGTTTGAAGAACAGCTCAGAAAGTAATAGCAAAATGTTTTTACGTACATCAGAAGCAGGAAACTGGCTAAACAACCGGTGGGGCCCTTGGATGATCAAGATGCCAAAGGAGCACTCAAAGATGATAAAGTCTTTGCGGAGAAACTAAATGAATTCTTTGCTTCGGTGTTCACGGCTGCAGATGTTGGGGAGATTCCCAAACCTGAGCTGTTCCTTTTAGGTGACAAATCTGAGGAATTGCCCCAGATTGAGGTGTCATTGGAGGAGGTTTTGGAACAATTTGATAAATCTAACAGTAACAAGTCACGGGGACCAGATGGCATTCACCCAAGAGTTCTGAAAGAACTCAAATGGGAAATTGTGGAGCTATTAACTGTGGTTTGTAACCTATCCTTTAAATCAGCTTCCATACCTAATGACTGGAAGACAGCTAATGTGATGCCAATATATTAAAAGGGCTCTGGGGTGATCCTGGCAATTACAGACCGGTAAGTCTAACATCAGTACCAGGCAAATTAGTTGAAACTATAGTAAAGAATAAAATTGTCAGACATGAAGTTTAACATAATTTGTTGGGGGAAAGTCAACATGGTTTCTGTAAATGGAAATCATGCCTCTAAGCTGCCAGAGTTCTTTGAGGGGGTCAATAAACATGTGGACAAGGGGGATCCAGTGGATATAGTTCACTTAGATTTCCAGAAACCCTTAGACAAGGTCCCTTGCCAAAGGCTCTTAAGTAAAGTAAGTTATGGGACAAAGAGGGAAGGAACTTTCGTGGACTGATAACTGGTTAAAAGGCAGGAAACAAAGGGTAGGAATAAATGGTCAGTTTTCCAAGTGGAGAGAGGTAACTATTGGCGTCCCCCAATGGCCAGTCCTAGGACCAGTCCTATTCAACTTATTCATAAATGATCTAGAGAAAGGGGTAAACAGTGAGGTGGCAAAATTTGCAGATGATACTAAACTGCTCAAGATAGTTAAGACCACAGCAGACAGATCAAAAAGATCTCACCAAACTAAGTGATTGGGCAACAAAATGGCAAATGCAATTTAATGTTGATAAATGTAAAGTAATGCTCATTGGAACAAATCATCCCAACTCTCCTCCAAGACCCAGCTGCCTCTGCATGACTGTGACATGCAGCAGCTAAGATCCAGGGGCTTGCCTGGCCACCAGCGGAAGTCGCCTGCACCAGGACTAGCGAGCATGACGCTGTGTGCTTAGCATGTGCATTCTGCTTGTTTGGGGACTGTCAAACAGAGAATAAGAATAGTACTGGGTGAGGCTCTTTTAGGGGCTAAAGCTCCTGCAAAACCTGCAGGAAGTTCCGCCCTGAGCCCTAGGAATCGGGCGAGGGTGGGTGTGTAAATTCACAGGGCTGCACCTTGAGCCCCAGAACTGGGTGAAGGGGTGTCCCTACAGTGTGGAAGGGAGAGCGAAATCTGTGCGGGTAACAGCACGGCTCGCAGAGCAAGGCCTGGGTGCCCAGTAAAACCTCTCCCCCCGCTGGGACCCGAGTGTAAATCCTTCCAGCCCTGGTAGCCCTTCCCTCCTCGCTCGCAGTAGCCCCCGTCTCGCCAGCTCTTGAGCAGAACGTGCGTTGGCACCCGCCGGCGATGCTGTGGCGCAGGAGATGAAAGCTCCTTCGTGAGTCACTAGCTCTCCGGCAAGCCCTTCCCTGGACCCGTTAGCCACATCCCCGCGCAGACCGGCCGCATCAGAAATTGCTGCTGTGCGGGTGGCGCCCTGCTGTAGCCCTGGGCAAAACGGGACCCCCTCTGGGCCCGGGTGCTTTACAGGCCGGTGACTCAGTCCCACGCTTATGCCTTCTTACAGGCAGCTCCTGAGAATGCTCTCCACACACGCGCAGCGCAGAACGGGGGCTAACGAAACGTTGTCACATTACTGGATTTTAGGGGAGCAGCCAGGTCACTGCTGTGCCCCTGGGGGGGTGTTTGTCCCAGAAGTGGGTACAAAGGGGGCCATGTGAGGTGTCAAACAAAAGCTTATTGTCTATGGATCCTGTATCTGCGCTTCATATACCTGTACAATGTCTGTGTGGAGTTATAAATATGGACTCTGTGGTGATGCTGAAAGAGTCTCTGTCGGAGGCAGAGCAATGGGCTGCGAATGTTTGCCCATGGACATGCTAATGAGCAAAGCTCCAGGGAACAGTGGGCCTCTGGAGGCCAAAGACACACCTGGCCACTGGCCATGTGACTCTCTCCAGCTTGGAAGAAGCCAGGAGGGGATAGAAATAGACCAGGTGGCCGATTCCATTTAGGTGCTCAGCTCAGCTCTTCATCCCAGAGGCGGCCGTGCAGGGATCGAGGAGCCGGGAAGAACTGTGGGCCCATCCGGACATAGGATGCGCACCAAGGACTTTTAAGCCACCAGTTATAACATCTCTGCTAGAGCCTGCATCGAGAACTGGGAGATTCGGTGCATGTAACGTACTATCCTTTAACAACCTCACTCTCAGGCTTTTCTTTCTGGTAGTAATAAACCTTTCGATGTTAGATGCTAAAGGATTGGCCCAGCGTGGTTTGTGGGTAAGATCCAGAGGGTGAATTGACCAGGGATCTGTGGCTGGTTTCTTGGAACTGGACACAACTTGTTCGGGGTAGGTGAGATTGGGTTCTAAAACCCTTCACCTGCATACGAGGCCCGGGCCTGTTTAGGGCACAGATATTGCTGGGGTGTCGGAGGGGTTTTGCTCGTGAGGCTTCTGGCTGGCCAGGCAGGCAGCTGAAGTGCTCTGCGGGGCTGGTTTGTGGCCAGTTTGGGAAGGTCTCCAGTCTGGGGGCTGTAAGGAGCCCTGCGTTTGAGCAATTCGCCCTGAGCGGGCGCCCTCAACTGTGCCCAGACCCGGCCTGGCCCATCACAGACGTTAGCATGAGTTTGACTGAAATAATAAGTGCCAGATTTGGGCTTCATTACAGAGCCTTCGCAGGAGTGCTCAATGCTGCCTACCTCACCGCCCTGGCACTGACAATCCCATCGAGTATTCTGGTCTCCACCGCTGGGCAGCGTCGCCAGGAGCGGTCACGTGCTTGGGGCCCTCCAGCTGGATTCCACCCCAGAGGGAGCTGCATTTCCACAGGGGCAGACGTGCTTTAAATAGACTTAGTTGGCTGCGGGAGGGTGCGAGTCACGGTTACCACCACTGACACAGCAAAAACCCAGGGACGTGCAAGTCGAACAAAGGAGCGAAGGCAGGAAAGGGGGCCCCTGTTCGGCCACGTGCAGCGTTCGAACCTCACGTGCATCTGCCCAAGTGCTTTGGGCCCACGGAAGCGTGTGCCCAAATAAATCTGTCCGTCTCGAAGGTGCCACCGGGCTCCATGTTGCTCCTGCACACCCAGACTAACAGGGCTGCCCCCGAGCGCTACACTGACACAGCCATCCCCCCGCCCCCCGTGCTTTGCAAACTCCGGCCCCTGGAGCTGAACGCACGCAGGGGTCACTAGGGCAAGCTGCCGACCACGTGTGCGACGCCAGCCAGGTTACCTTTCTCTGGGCCTCTGCAAAGGGCAGACCCCTCCCACGCTGGGTACCAGGCGGCCCCTTCTCTGCACCGGGTCTAGCGCAGCAGGGCCCTGAGCTCGGGTCACCGCTCACAAGCACCCGGGGGAGGGCAGCAACCGAGCACCCCACAGCCGGGCGGGGCCAGTTCGGAGCAGGGCAAAGCTCTGTGCTCGGATCAGAGGCGGCGGCGGCGG